AGAGCAGGGAGTAGTCAGCAGGGTGGGGGCTGAAAGGAGCCTTCTCTAGCATGAATGTGTCCTTGATTGTGGCCTTGAAAGGTCCCAACAGGATCCCTCTGCGGAGATGGGCCTGCTCAGGGTTCCTTCAGCAACTGAGGATGACAGTCATTCGCTCACAGCCTGGGAGGGGGGCAGGCTGGAGGCTGGGGGCTCAGCGTTTTGACGTGGCTCTTTCCTGAGTGTCATTTCTGCCCTCCCAGCCCCCCACGGCTGCCCAGCTCTCCCGGCTCTCACACAAGGCCCCTCCCCCTCAGTGCAGAATAGAAGATGGTGATCTACAGGCACAGCCTGATGCTTGAACTATTTCATGGCTGTTCAGGTTGAATTCTTTTTCTTTCCTTCAAATGTGTTTCTTAAGATTCTATTTATTTATCTTTAGAAGGGAAGGGAAGGAGAAAGAAAGGGAAACATTAATGTGTGGTTGCCTCTTGTGCGTCCCCTGCTGGGAACTGACCTTCAACCCAGGCATGTGCCCTGACTGGGAATCGAACCTCCATCCTTTGGTTCGCAGGCCCGCGCTCAATCCACTGAGCTACACCAGCCAGGGCTCAAATGTGTTTCTTTTTAAAGATTTAATTAATTTATTTTTTAGAGACGGGAAGGAAGGGAGAAAGAGGGGAGACACATCAATGTGTGGTTGCCTCTCATGCGCCCCCTGCTGGAGACCTGGCCCACAACCCAGGCATGTGCCCTGCCTGGGTATTGAACTGGTGACCACTGGATTTGTAGGCTGGCACTCAACCATTGAGCCACACCAGCCAGGGCTCTTTTTTTTTTTTTTCCATCCTCACCCAAGGCTATATTTATTGATTTTAGAGAGAGGAAGGGAGAGAAAGAAGCATCCATGGGAGAGAGAAACATCAATACGTGCCCTGACTGGGGATCACACCCATAACTTTCTGGTGCACAAGACGACGCTCCATCCCACTGAGCCACCCGGCCAGGGCTGTGTTATTTCACACTCAAATCAACTGCGGTCCAATTTTCATGCAGTAAAAGTCACCCAGTTAGGTGTACAGTTTGAGGTGTTTTGACCAGCCTGTACACTCGGTGCCCACCACCGCACTCCAGATAAGGAATGTTTCCATGACCTCAGTATGTTTCCTGTGACCTTTCGTGGTCGATATCCTTTTCCTGTCCGCAGGCCCGACAACCACTGACCTGTCCTCCTTCCTGTCGTTTTGCCTTTTCTAGATTGTCCTACCATTAAAATCGTAAACTATGTCGCCCTCTGGGTCTGGCTTCTTTCATTTCCCGTTGGCGAGTCCGTTGAGAGCACTGCGTGTGTCCAAGCTTCAGTCTCTCGCTGCTGGGTCAAGCCCCTTTGGGTGGGGGTACCGCTCTTTCTCAGTCGCTAGGTGAGGGGCTTTGGGAATGTCCCAGTGTTTAGCTATTTGGAGTGAGGCTGCTGCGGCCATTTCACACATGAGTTTGTGCGTGGGTCTACATCTTCCACTCCCTTGGGTGGGATTTCAGCTCACATAGTAGGTGTACATTTCTTTTCTTTTTAAAATATTTTATTTATTTATTTTTAGAGAGGGGGAAGGGAGGAAGAAAGAGAGGGAGAGAAACATCGAAGTGTGGTTGCCTCTCATGTGCCCCCTACTGGGGACCTGGCCTGACTGGGAATCGAACCGGTAACCCTTTGGTTTGCAGCCCCCCCCCTCCCCCCCCCCTCCCCCTCCCCCCTCCCCCCCTCCCCCCCCCCCCTCAATCTGCTGAGCTACACCAGCCGGGGCAGGTGTAGGTTTCTAAGAAAGAGCCAAGCTGTTTGCTAAAAGGGTTTAGCACTTTGTTTTCATTTTTTTAATTTATTCATTTGAGAGAGAGAGAAACATGGATGTGTTGTTTCACTTATTCATGCGACCACCAATTGAGTCTTGCAGGTGCCCTGACCGGGGATCAAACCCACAACCTTAGCACGTTGGGATATCGCTCTAACCAGCTGAGCCACCGGGCCAGGGCCCAGACCTCCCTTTCCGTGTTTCTAATTCCACAAGTAAAATAGGAGGTCGGACGGAGCCTCACCCGCACTCCAGCCTGCTCCTGCCCCCAGCCGGTGGCGCTGTGGGCTGGTCCTACCTGGCTTGTTGATGCCTGTCACACGTGAGCACAGCACCTCGAACGTGGACCTGTGCGCTTTCTTTGTCTGTGTCCTTCCAACTTGCTTTTGTCACTGAACACCAGGACTCGGCGGCAGGGGGAACCTGGCTCTTACCAGCTATGGGAACACCCCCGGCGGGCGATGACGAATGTCACAGAGCTGCCCTGTTACTGAGCAGTGTGTGGCGTCTCTCAGACCTCACTCAAGACAGAAAGGCCTAGAAACAATAGTAAGAGATTTCCGAGGTGTGCGCTTCATGAACTGTCTGGCGTTGGCAGGATGTCGTTCCAAGTGCCCGACCCACAGCGCGGTGAGGATGCTGTCCTGAGTGAAACTAGCCAGGCACGGAAGCATGCCTGACTCCGTCCACAAGCACCGGAAGTACCCGAGTTCTCAGACAGAAAGAAGGCGGGGCTGAGGGAGGGGGCGGGGCCTCAGTGTTGGAGTGGGGGACCAGAGTCACGGGCTGAGAAGATAACACGAGTTCTGTGGGTAGCTGCTAGTCGCCTCAGGCCGCTGTAACCGAGCGCCCCGGGCCGGGGGACTCAAACGACAGATTTCCTCAGTTCTGGAGGCTGCAAGTCCAAGGTCAGGGTGCCGGCCTGGCTGGGTTCTGGTGAGAGCCCTCCTCCTCGCCAGCACTGATGCGGCCTGTCCTCAGGGGGTGCTCCAGGGAGAGGGGGCATCTCCTTCCCTTCTGAGGACACGAATCCCATCCTGGGGCCCCGCCCTCACCACCTCGGGTGACCCGAACTCCTCCTGAAGGCCATTACTCAAACTGAAGTTACAGTCATGGCACATAGATCTATGTAAGTAGTAGTCCCTAGCTCTTTGAGATGTAGACTGAAGGACATACAGATGAAGCATGTCTGCAATTTATTTTAAGCCGGAGGTTAATGTGCAAGTGCAGGGTAATGAGGAGATTTTGGTCACTTGTTCAATGTTACAGCCGGGTGACGGGTGCACAGGGGTCCATTCCCTTACAATATTCTTCCTACTTCTGTGTATTTGAAAAATTCTGTAAGACCAAGCGAAAAAGTACTGTTGTGCTCGCGCTGGGCTTCCAGGTCATCTAGCAGTGGATACTGAGCTTTCCTCCCCCACCCTCCCTCCATCAGACTGAATCTCGGCTGCAGAAAGGCCAAGGCTGCCCAGGACAGACGAGACAGTCGCTGCAGAGCAGGGGGACTTAAACCCCTTCTCCTGTCGTTCACCAGCCTCTTGAGCTTGGCCCCCAGTTCCTCTGAGATGTCCATTCTACTCACAGCTGCTTTTTCTCCAGGTCCAGCAGAACCCTGCCATCTGTCGCTCCCTCCACCAGACACTGCACCTGGGCCCCTGTGGGTTGTTTAGTCCAAGACACAGGATGGGAGGGAACTCAGGCTTTGCTGACCGCTACCTGCATGGGAAGGCCAGCAAGGGTGGAAGGCGGGGATTTCTGCTGCCCTGGGCGGGCTGTTTGGTGTCAGGCCCCCCACCAATTTCCTCACCCCTATGAGAATCCATGCTGGGAGCTGTGACTGCAGCAACACAGACACGTCTCCTGCCCTCGTGGGGTCCATGTTCTACTGGGTGGGTAATCACAAATACAGTGGTAATGTTTTCCAAATACTGGGAAAAATTAAACAGGGTGTGGTGATCATGAGAACATGGAGATGCTTTAGATCTGCTCATCAGGGAAAGAAAACCTACAAAAGTAACTTTTGACCTGAGTCCTGAATGACGAGGAGCCAGCCCTGTGAGGACCTGGGGACAAAGAACCAGGAAGAGCAAAAGCCTCAGACTGACCCGTGCAAGAACAGAAAGACTGAAGCCGAGTGAACTGCAGCGGAGGACAAGGTAAAGGGAATACCTACCCCAGTCTGTAACAACGGGGAAAATTTCCCACAGCCCACTGGGGACCGGTCCGGACAAACAGCATCTCGCACCTCTCAAACGATGGAAAAGTTCTAACAGAAAATGACCCTATTCTTTTAAAATCATCACATTGATACACTTTTACTACAAACTACAAGAACAGCGAGAACCAGGGCTTTGTCTGCCCAAGGCTGCATTTCCAACATCTGGATTTTCTGTGATTGGCAGGTGATAAGACCATTGAAACCAACCAAATGCTCTGGTTAGCAGTGAGGAGTGATGTAACAATGGCTGTTGATGACATTTGAAAGAGGAAGGATTCACAAACACATCGTCAATAACAGGTTTGGAATGTGTTTTCCTTAAACATCCTGCATATGTTTAAGCTCCGAACAACCAACTTTTGCTGTAAATTTTTGCTCATTTTGTTACAATGAGACATGGTTGAGAACTGTCACCAGGTTCCTGCTGCTTGCATGTCTCATTCCATCTCTATGACAATCAACTTTGTTATAAAAAAAAGTGTCTCCAGTTTTAGAGGCCTTGAATTAAGGATCAGACCTGGGTTCAATACCCGGGTCGCTACTTAGGAGCAGTCATGTGGCCCTGGGCACATCCACATTGCTTTGAGATGCTGTCGTTAAAAGGGGCGTTTTCTGTCCTTGCCTCCATCATAACACTCTTGGCAAGATGTGAAAAACTGAAGACATACTTTCTAAGTTTTTGAAAGGGACTGGAGATGATGAGGGCTCCAAGCCTTTGCCTGCGTTGCATTAAAAAAAAATCAAACCCCACACACATCTCAATCTTTTATAACCTTAGCAACTAGAAAAAATTCATGTCCTTTTTACCTGTCAGATTCCCACACTGAGCAGTGACCTACACAGCTCTCTGGGGGATTCCTGAGGCCCCTCTCCCTGCCAAGGAAGGACCCTCCCCTCTTCCTTCCCTCACCAGGTTTCACAGGTAAATCCTCTCACTCCACAGAACCAACAAACACACTGCTACGTTTCAGTTTATTTTGCACATAATGAAAACAGCCAATTGACTAAACAGTTTCAGAACTGTTAGTGTTCATTAATCAACAAATAACAAAGTCAGAAGGCCAACATCTCAATTCCTCCAAAACATTATCTTGCAGGTACAACTGAAATCCCTAACACATGCAATATGGGCTGGTTTGGAAAGAGAGAACCTAAGCAAGATGGGTGAGTAGTGAATGTCCGTGTGGGTCAGACCAGGGGAGCCAAGCTCCAGGAAGCTGGGCTGTACCCGGCCGGGCATTCACGCTGCCCCCATATACACCTGCCCTGTGAAGTCCACTGCCTCTTGTCAGCTGGAAACCCAAGCAACTCTTTCCTCCATTTCCAGACTCATCACCTCCTCTTATTTCAGGGTGGCTGATCCACACACAGGAATCCAGGCAGCGCAGATGCCCTGGCCCAGCTGGGTTTGACGCAGCATCTCCGCAAGTCGGGCTCCAGCTCAGATTCTGTACAGGAAGTTTCCACTGCCGTCAAAGAACTCGCGCCCCCGCTGCACCACTTTGCTGCTGAAGTTCTGGCCGCCCTGCTCTCCTGCCTTCAGCTCCTCCAGCCTGATCGCACTTGACAACCCAGCCCTGTCGGTCCCCCTGGCGCCCTCACAGTCCATGGTGGGACACTTCCGCGGCTCTCTCCAATGACGTTCAGCCACAGGCGCCAAGCTCTCCTCCTCCAGGCTCTGGATCCCGTTATTCCTTCTCTTCTGTCTCCTCAGTGGGTCCGTGCTGTGAGTATTCGGTTCCGTCACCGTCAGCGCTGTGCTGGGACCCTGGCCTTGGCATGAGGCTTCACCTCCCGACACAGAGTGGCCCGTGGGAAGCAGTTTCCAGGTGTCCCCAGAGCCCGGAAGCTGGCGGAGCGAGGGGGTAAGTCCCGCTTTCTTAAGGACTTTTTGATCCTGCTTCAGTTTCTGCTCCAATGTGGGAACAAACTTGCTCTTTAAAACCCTTCTGATCACATCGGTGCTAACATCAAAGCCTTCCGCCAACCTGGGGACTGACCAGGACTCGGCAAACTCTTTATGTAAGTACCTATAGGAAAACGAAGCAGTTTTTGAAATTGTCAAGTCCTCTGTCAGAATAGCTGACTGATAATATCAGTGATAAACACATAAGAGGAGCTGAAAACGCAGGCTGTGTTCCGCTCCTGCGTGCCGAAAGCAACACCCAGCCACCGTGAGATCACTTCATTTCCCATCGACGGACCACCTCCCACCGCACCACAGCCCCCGTTAATCCTGGTGATGGTGTGGAGTCTGTCCTTCCCTTTAAAGAACACACAATCCAGGGGCCAAGACAAGTATGCTGACGTACAGCACCGTGACGGGTCTCCCAGCACAAGACGCTGTGAGGGCACCCACAGCAGAGACCCAAGAACAGGCTGTCACAGCACGTGCAGCGTGGCCCAGGAGCTGCTCTGGGAAGTCGATGTCAGAGCTGGTCTGAAAGGATGCAAAGGAGTTAGAAAGCCGGCAAAGGGGGAGGAAGGGATCAAAAACACGGATGGCGGAGTGAGCATGTGAAATGCAAAGAACACCATCTTTGGGGGAATAACTCATCTGACAGCGAGGACGGGAGCAGGAGCAGGATCTCACCATGCTGAGTATGGAGTTCATCACAAAGCAACAGCAAACCAGGGGAAGCGTCTAAGGGGTGGAATGCCACGAGCAAACTTCATTCTGAAGCTCAATTCAGTGGTAGTCCTTCAGTGGCTAGACTAGAGGTGGAAAGATCGGACAAGAGGCTGTGAGAATAACCCAGTGAGTTCACAATCCATGAACTGAGGTGGTGGCAGTGAGAACAGAGGCGGCAAGAGACCTGAGGAATATTTTAGGAGGGCCAAGTGGTAAAATTTGGTAAGTGAGGAAGGAGGCTGAGATTCAGGAGTTTAGCTGGGGGACTTGTGGGATCATTCAGGGGTATAGCAAAAGCAGGAGCAGGATTAAACTGTCCAGAACAGTGAGTGGTGAGTTCTGTTCTGTACACGTTGAGTTGGAGGAACCTGTGTAACATCCAAACAGAGGCATCTAGTGCCCAGCTGGAGGTCAGAAGAAAAACACGGACTGAAGATGATGGCTCTGGAAGTCATAAGCCAACAGCAAAGGTGGTTGAAGCCATGTGGGTGGCTGGTATTAGACAGGGAAATATGCAGAGTGAGATAAAATACCTGACAACACACTAAAAAAACAGCAATATTTAACAAACAGGAGGAAACAGGGCTGTTCAGGAAGAGAAAAAGCAGCTCTAAAAATAGAAGCAAGTGGTACCTGGGTGAAGGGAGAAGAGAATTTCACAAAAGCCGACTACAAGGTCAAATGCTGTAGCAACGTTAGGGAGGCTGAAGCCCAGGGCGTCCGTCCCGCCTGGATTTGCTTCACAGACAAGACAAGAAACAACGGCAGGCAGCCTGCTCGGAACAAAATACAGGGAAAACTTCTGCTGACAGACACGGGTCCCCGAGGAGGCGGGCAGGGCTGCAACCCCGAGCACACAGAGGATGAGCCCCCCACGAGCTCCCTCTGCGGTGTAGAGGGAACAGGGTTGAGGTGGGAAGCGGGAAGGAAGACAAAGCAGCTCTGGGGCGGGCCCACCCAGTGGCCTGTTTTCCTTTGAGTAAAAGGACATTTACAGGCCCCAAAAGAGGATGAGACAGGTAGGAAGATTTGAAAGGCTTTTGTGCCAGGCAGGAGAGGAAGCCAACGGCGAGAGAAGCTACAGGCCCACACAGTCCTGCGGATCAGCTCCACGGAATCTGTAGGTCTCGATCCCTGAGTTGTTCCGACGAAAACTGAACACAGCACACAGCCCACGGGCAGCTATTTAGGGACAAAATGAAAACCCACCTGCCCGCAGGGCCGGCAGCCCCACTCTGGGGATGTGTGAAACCACTGCGCCCGGCAGACCTGGCGCATGAACGGTTACTCACTAGTGATCTTCAACCTCTCACCTCATGGCCACATAAACTCATCACTAAATTCTGGGGCACACCAAAAATGATTTTTTTTTTGGCCAAGCTGACCAAAAAAGGGCATATTTTGATTCATTCAAAATAGGATGGCTATTGTGTTGGCTGTTTTCACTTTTTTATTTGATAATTCAAGGGAAAAGAGGTCAGTGTCCTAAGTAAACAGTCGGGTATTGCACGTTTTAAACATTCTTGCGGCACAAGCGGGTGAGAATCGCTGCACTAGAGCACTGTCTGCCACAGCAAAGGCGTGGGAACAACCCAAGTGCCCATTAGAAAAGGCTGGTTAACTACACTGTGATTGCTATAAAAAACAAAGCGCTTTCTCTTCTTTTTTTAAAATATAACTTATTTATCTTTAGAGGGGAAGGGAAGGAGAGAGGGAGAGAAACATCAGTGTGTGGTTGCTTCTTGTGCGTCCCCTTCTGGGAACTGGCCTGCAACCCAGGCATGTGCCCTGATTGGGAATCGAACTGCGATCCTTTGGTTCGCAGGCCTGTGCTCAATCCACTGAACTGTGTCAGCCAGGGCAGACCTTCTTTCTTCTGAAGCAGAAAGATATTAAGTGAAAAAAGTACAGACAGCATGTATTTATAGAATCCTACTGTTTGTGATGAAAATGGAAATAAAAACTACAATTAAATTGCTTTATTTGCACAAGGAAACCTAGAAAAAAAAGCAAAAAAAAAAAAAACCCAGTAAAAATGGCACCCACAGGAAACTGGCTGGGATTAACACTTCCCAGTGTGAACCCCATATTATTCTGTCCTAATTTTGAACCATCTGCAATATAATCTATTCAAAACAAGAAACCTTAAAGTTTGAGAAAGGATCCCTTTAAGATTTCCTATGCTACAGGATCCTTTCCTCAGAAAAATGGGCATAACCACGAAAGCTCCCATCCCTGGTTCTTAGATTAAGAACGTCCTGATTTACTAGCTAGCGTTTAAATGGTGTGATGTCTGCAATGGACTATTTTAAAATTTCAGCAAAAAGAACCAACTGTGTCACAGTGTTAAAAATTTTTAAATCAAGACGATGGGTTTACAGTAGTTCATTATATTACTTTACCGTAAGAAATCGCAAAGGAGCCCTGGGCCAGTAGCTCAATTGGTGAAAGTGTGTCCCGGGCCCCAGACGCCAAGGGTGCAGTCTAGTTCGGGCACACCACAAGCGACCAATGCATTAATAAAAAGTGGGACAACAAGCTGATGTTCCTTGTTCTCCCTTCTTCCCTCGCTCTGAAAAAAAAAAGGAATAAGTAAGAAAAAAGAAATCTGAGCTCCGCCTGGTGTGGCTAAGTGGACTGAGTGCCCACCCTTGAACTGAAAGATCGCGGTTCTGTTCCCAGTCAGGGCACATTCCTGAGATGCCGGCCAGCAGGGGCCCAGCGAGAAGGAATGCAATGATGTTCTCTCGTACTCCGATGTTTCTCTCCTTTCTCACTCCCTTCCCCCTTCTCTAAAAGAAATGAAATCTCTAAAAAAAGAGAAACCTGAAATGATAATAAAAGAAAGTAGAAAACCCACACGATCTGGCCCAGTATCCTTCCCTCCCCAACGCAGCCGATCCGGACACCAGGGGGGTCTTACCGGATCTGCTCCAAGGCCTCCATCGTCAGAGTCCTGGGTGGGGCACCTGGCGCCTCCATTTGCCTCCGAATTTGCTGGAACCGAATAGCTTTTTTCTGTCGTTTCAGGGTGCAGGAGAAGAGAACCAATGGCAGGAGCCATGCGTGGAAGGAGGCTGGGTGGGTGAAGAGTCTCGGGCTAAATCACGGAGTGCTAGCCCTCCTCTTTGTTCACCGTCCCAGAAATCGCACACCTAGAACTTGGGCCAGCCGAACTCTCTAAACGGGTGATGAAATACGTCACTGGTGAGGGGACCCGTGGTCCCAAAGGAGCTGAATACTTGCCCCTGCGTCTCTGGTCAGAGTAAGAAACAAGGGCCGCTGCAAACGCAACGGCTGGACGCCCGGCGCCAAGGAGACGCGGCCTAGATCGCCGGGGCGGGAGACCCTCCTTCAGGCTGAGGGTTCGGAAAGGAGCTGGTACCTCTCCACCTCCTGCAGCTCCCGCTCCTCCGGTTCCCAGTCGGAATCGGGGTCCGGCTCGCGGCCGATAGAGCCTGGGCCTGCCACCCCTCGGGTCGCGAAACCGCAGGGAGCGACGACAGCGCGGACACGTCCGGCAAAGAAGAGACCCAGGGTACCCGCCATGTTGACAGAAACGCCTGCAGCCCAAAATGCGGCAGCAGCGAAGCCAGACGGCGGAACCGGAAGTGAAAGGGCTGGAAGGGGGGCAGGGCGAGGGTCACGTCCTTCGAGCTTCCGGCGGAAGGTGGACTCTGGGCTTAGGGAGCTCCGCGGCCCACCCTTCCCTGCAGTAACTACGGATAGGACTTTGCTAAGACGCGCGAGTCTGAATGAGGTGGAGGACGATCCTGCAAAACGGCATAAACTTTAATAAAAAGACGGGTTCAACTGCAGAGAGCCAACCCTTCCCCACAAGGGCAGCTCAGGCCGGCCAGTCTCCCCATTGGCGGAAGGATGTTCCCAAGGCGTTCTGACGGCGACAGCCCTGTGCCTTGGGCACTCCGCTCCTCTGGTTAAAGGAACTGCTTGTCACCGGGATCAGCTCCAGACCCGGGCCGCACCAGTGTTCAGACCCATCAGCTAATGACAAATCCAGGCTCAGTCTTTGAAGGGCAGAGATGAGTGGGTGGCTGGCCCTGGCGCCTGTCTTCACTGTTGAGTCTTTCCTGGTCCGGAAACACTCTTGGGGTACTGAGGAATTCTCGGTGTCTTTGTGTTTGTGCCTTAGGCAAACCAGTTCCTGGCCAGAGCTTTTCAGACTCAAGCTTGGTGGCTGTCTTTTCACTGAGAGGTGCTTGAAGGCTCTTTGCCCCGTAGGAAAGCTGAAGGGTTCTCCAGCAGAGCTTGAGTGCTGGCTTCCTTCCTGCATTTACCTGTGGTGGCTGATGTCCAGGGCCGCAGTGGTACTCTGCATCAGGGGTGCGGAGGCACGGCAGAGGGGCAGGTCCTGGGCCTTGGCTGCTCTGTGTCCACAGTCGACGATGGAGGGCAAGCTGCATTCAGTCCACGGGCTACTTACCACTCTTTCCCGTTGCAGAAAATAGCCCTGCTTTGGGGTTAAACAGGATGGCACTGATCCTGCCATGGCTCTGTTTATGGCTTCTAGCCTTCTGCTGGCTTGGCCTTCTGCAGTGGAAACATGGGGCCCCCTAAGTTGCTTGCCAGTCACAACTCTTTCCCAACTGTTGCTCAGTGACCAACACAGAGAAACGGCACCCTATGCTTCCCTCCAGCATCTTTACCACACTGTATTGCCACTGGTGCGTTTACTTGTCCATCTCCCTGTTATGTCTGTGGAGCGCTGGGACTGTATTTCTGCCTTTTCCATCACCAGGCTCTAGCACACAGGAGGCAGCAAAGGGCTCCGCTGCCTCCCACGTTCCCACATTGCTGGAGGTGCCATATTAAATTTTGGGAGCATCCCGGCTGTAATATCTGCTAGTGGGAGTTTAGTGACCAAAACTAGTTTTGCATACTTACGGCTATTGGACCTGACTCTGGGAATGGGAAAACAGCGTTCGTCAGATTTCTTCATTGACAATGAACAGGGGCCAAAGGCGGCTGGATCTCTTATCCAGTTGAAGTTCCTGGGCTGTAGGTAGTACCGGGCATGAGGCAGGAATGCAGTGTTCATGCGTGGCAATGGCCCTAAGATCCTGGGGATCAACTCGTGGGATCGAACTGGATGCAGGACATGAGGAGGGCCCTGCTCTTTGTCCGCCCTGCTCATGAGGACCAATGGGAACAGACTCATAGACGGCAGTTCTTGACTGCTCAGCCCGTCCGGATGAGATCTAGGCTGGAGGAGAAAAGCAGCCTCTTACCACATTTCTCGCGAGGCTGGAGGGAGTGGTGGGAAACACAGAAAACGGAAACACCTCTTCTGGGCCAGAGCCGCCACCTCACCAGCTCATTCTCCAGGGCTCAACAAAAATGGGACCCATCAGGTGTGCCACTACCCCAGGGAACAGTGAATGCGGCAGCTGTTTTGTAGGCCCAAGGCTTTACTCATCTCCCCTTAGAGCCACAGCAGGGGCAGGGCCAGGGAGAGGTTACACAGAAGCCACTGAAGGTGGTGGGTCAGTCGTGGGTTTGGGGTCATTGCCAGATAGGGCTAGAGCAAACAAGTCTCTTGTGAGAAGGCAGGGAGCTGCACTTGGCTGGATGTCACTAACGGCAAGGGAGCTTGGGGTGCAGCCATAATAGGAACCGACAGCCCCTTTCCTGAGGCCCAGCACAGACTGCTTTCCCAGGCTCCACTGCCAGACACCATCACATTAGCCTCCTGGGGCCGTAGCCACCATCGTGTGCCGGCACCGCCCTTGTTCCCTGCTGTGTGAGATGCTGCACGGCGACCCTCACCCGATACTCATGAAGCTTTTTCTGGTCCTGGTGGTTGGGGTGCACCATGCTGGTGATCTGCTCTACGATGCCCATGCTTCGGATGAGATTCTCCCGCTGCAGGAGGGCCTTCAAGCGCTCCAGCTCCTCCTCTTCCACAATTTCTTGAGGCTGCATGGTGTCCAGGTACCCTGGGAGCAGCTACAAGGTACACGGGAGATGCATGCAGGATTTCTGATGATGAGTCCCAACCTCCAACGGATGACTGCAGGGCTCCTGCCCACTCTCCCGCCATCCCTTCCCTGACCCTGCTGCCAGTCCCTTTTGCTATCCATTCTCTCACCTCCTGTTCCAAAAGGTCAGATTCAATGTACTCACTAGGAACTCCTCTCTCTGTCTCAAACAAGAGGAGGAAAGGACAGCAGAGATTCCCCTCTCTAATACTCCTACCCCATTTTCCTGCAGAAAGTCAAGAGCCACAAAGCCCCTGACACCTCTTTCTTCCGGTTCCGGTTCTGGTTCCGGTAAGCCAAGTGGGTGGGGAAGCCCCGGGGCCTGGTCCTGCAACAGCTCTTCTCCCCTGCCGACTCCCCCTGGTTCTGCTCCTTGTTTTCCTTTCGCCTCTTAGTGTCCAAGATGTCACGCTGTTCCTGCTTGAGGCGGATCTCTTCCAGCTGCTGCCTGACAAGAGACAGCAGCTTCAGATACCGGAGAACTTGTGTGTGCCAGGGGGAGGGCAGTGGGGGAGAATGGGGATGGGAAAAGAACAGGGAACGATGGTCCTTTTGGGGGACTGATGGGAGAGGGATGCGGGATGCAGGGGAAGATGGGACACCTACTAAACTGAACCATTAAAGGCCAATAAAATGTGTGAGTCCACCCCTCTTTCCTCAAGTGTCTGTCATCCTCCCCACCCTGCCGGGGAGCAGTTTGGCTTCAGGATCTGTCCGCACCCAAGCGGAGAGAGGAGCAGGCAGGGCAAAGTACCTGGCACACTCCTCTCTGGCCTTGGAGGCCGCCGTCTCCTGGAAGAGGGAGCCGCTGTGCTTGAAGAAGGGCGCGTACTTCTCTGTGTCGGGCCCAGGGTAGATCCTCCGGTAGCCCCCAAGGTGAGAATCCTCGTAGCATTCCTGGTCCAGCAGTGCTGCCTGGGACAACTCGGTTTGTTCGCGCCTAGGAAACCGAGCTTTGGGTGAGGCGGGGCGGAGCCGTGAGTGCTGCGGCGGGAAAGGCAGGCTGGCCGGGGCTCTGAGGACCTCCCCCCAGCTTCCCGGCCTTGTGGGCCCCTGCCCATGGAGGGCGAGCTGCAAACCCCATCTGTGGCCAGTCCCGCCTGTGTACAGTAATGAAAATAGGCTCGACTTCCAGAAATCTGGTTTTCGTCTTCAGTGCGGTGGGGTCTGCTCATAAGCCAGCACCAAGGTCCCTGATTATAGAAACTTGGGTTTCTAATTACAGAATCTCTAGAGGAGCAAAAAAGATGATTTAAAAAAACTGCCCACAGCCTTACAGTGCAGTTTGTATATTGGTCACGAGCACAGATTCTGAGGCAGGACCTCCTCCTGAGTCTGAACCTTGGCTTATCTCGTCCTTCCTTTCTTGTTTTGGATGAAAGCGGGATCACACATTTCTAAATGGCTGCCTAGTACTGAGTGTATGAGTGTAATCATCACGTTCAGTAGTTTTCAACCTCTTATCCCCATTGAAGGATGGGATTCAGCGAGTCACGTGCACCGTGCAGTCTCACGCAAACATCCAGGGCACGTACAGTTACACCCCCTGCCCTCCACTCGCACAGACGTCCACTCGCCCTCTGTGCGCAAGGACCTCAGGACGGCATCGCAAACCAAATACACACTGGCCCCGCATCTTGCAAGTGGGGAAGAACGTTATTATGCTAACCCGAAATCTACTCCAATTCATTTTTATGTCTCATTCACTGTAATTCTGTGTCAGCAATAAATTACCACGTTGCAACCCATCTTACAATGAAAACAACAGTGAGCAAACAATACTGATTTAAACCGTCCCCTAAAAACAAAAAAAAATTTAACAAATTCTCCCCTAATGTTGAATGACTAAACTGTTTTGTGTTTCATTACTATCAACTTTTCTTTTTAAATATTTATTTATTTGCAGGGAGAGGGGGAGGGCAGGAGAAAGAGGGAGAGAGAAACATCGACCGTTTGCCTCAAACCCGCAACCCAGGCACGTGCCCTGACCAGGAGTTGAACTGAACTGGCGACCTCTTGTTTGCCAGGACAAAGCCCAACTAACTGAGCCACACCAGTCAGGGCTCAGGACTGTAAATTTTCTCAGGAAATGGTTTCTACAGGAACTTTGTTTCAAAAAGAAATAGCTAATGAAGCCACACACAGCTAATGTGCAAATTGGAAGTAGCTCTGAAACACTGCCAAGCAGGGCACAGAGTATACACGTTACGCAGCTGTCTGGGCGGCAAAGTGAGAGAAGCAATTTGTATAAATACATGTATGTGTGTGCATTAGATGCTTGTGGAAACAGATGCGTGACCCAGGGTACGCTGACTGGCCCCACGCAGCTGGAGAAGGGAGGATGGCAGACTCGTCACTGTGCCCTCTGCACTTTGAACATCAGTACCTACAACACACGATGCACTATCTATGCCCAAACGCATTGTCTCTCATAGCACCTCAGCTCCAGGCTGCCTCCTCCTTCTCGTCTCAGGAAAATGGCACCCAAGCGGCACGTTACACAAGGGACCAGGTCGGGCGCCCGCCCTACCTGGCTTCTCGCAGCTCCTGCTGGCACTGGAGGAGCCGGTCTTTCACTCGGCGCCTGTCTTCCTCCAGCACCTTCCTTCTGTCGCAGCCCCGGAGGTTGATGAGGACCAACGTGTCAGAGAGCAGCGTGTCCTTCACCTCTTGGTCCAGGAGTGAGTCAGTGGTGAAGCTTGGAGAGTGGTTTACCTGCCAGGAGGAGTCATTATCTGCCCGCTCCTGGGCCACCTGAGCAGGCAGGTGGCAGTCTCGTGCAGGCCCGGGGAGGGTGCGGGAGCGACACCCCCTCGGGTGGCCTCGGCCAAGGCGGCTGGGTATTCCGACCACACAAGACCTAATAAACTATCAGAATGGCTGTTGAGACCTGCTGTCCTTGAAGACAAGGCTTACACGAGCCACTCTTGGGACCCAAAACCTGGATTCCTACAGTGGACACCAGAGACCACCAAGGTCTGACTCAACGCGTCTGAAGTATGGAGACCTCATGCCTCCTGCAGTTCCTCCCCACCCCGGTGCCGCTGCACCCCCATTCCCTGCTCCCCCCCCCCCAGTGTGCTCCAGTCCCAGCTGTCCTGTTCAAGGAGGCCGCTGGACCTTGGTCTCGCCGAGCCCAGGAGACAATCCTCACCTCCAGCAGCCAGGGCTTCAGCTTGTGGTCCAGCAAGATGTCAAAACCAAGGATTTCAAAACAGGCACAAGTACCCCCACTCAGGTACTGGGGAAAGCAGGTTCGGTAGTTGTGGCGGAGCACAGAATGAGCTGAGATGATAGTTTTGATGATGATGTCCTCAATGCCCCCCCATATCTCTCTGGGGTCGTAGCTGTGCTCCCGCAGCCAGGTGTTGAGCGTCGACAGCTTCCTGTGAGGCCCAGTGCTCAGAGGAAGAGGCGGGGCTGCGGGCAGGAGGCTCCCTGACCCTAAGTCCATGCCTAGGCCTCTTGTGCTCTAAAGGGGGGCCCCCAGCTCGCAACAGGGTTTAGTTATCGGGGGGGCGGGGGGCCTCCCTTGGTGATCACGCACGGGACAAGGGTCTGTAAAGGTTGCCTGTTCCTGAGCAGTCGGCCTCCTGAGAGCCGGTCTCAGTTTCGTGGCCGCTGAGACTAGGGCTGAGGGACAGGGAAGAAGACGGAGTGGGCCGTACCTCTTACTGCCCATGGCGTCATCCCGGACGAAGTTCTCGTTGTGCTTGTTGATCGCGTAGTTGGTCAGGTGCATGCAGACATCATCCTGGGGAGACAGCGGCCTGTGGCCTCGGGGCCGTGCCGCGCTCCTCGCCAGCCCTCCACTGCCTTTTGAGCACCCCGGACCCCTCATCCCCTGCCCCTCTGTCCCCCACTCCCGGGGAGGACCACGCTGGCAGCTGCTGGGGAGGAAGGTGCGCTGTCCCTCCCCTCCCGGCCAGGTGCCGGAGCACTCTCTGGCTTCGCTCCTTGTCCTGGGCGACCCGCCAGCTGCGTCACAAGCCCCCCTCCTCGGTTTCCCCAAAACACCTCAGCACTTAGCAGTGGAAACGGTGGGGGGGCGTGCTGCCCGGCCCCAGGCCTGCCCCCCAGCCCTTACCAGGTTGTTCTGGTTGGGCTCCATGTAGGGCATGGTGGCGAAGCGGGCCAGGCCCTCCTCGTACATGAAGATCCGAAGGGGGTCACAGGATGTGAGCAGGACGTAGACGCGCATGTCAAACTTGAAGCCGTCAATGAGGAAGGGCTGGGTGCACAGAGCCAGCCACCGTGGGGCAGGGGGGTGGGGTGGGGGGAAGAACAAGGCTTTTAAGTGCTTACTCTGTATCACCCAGGGTCCTGCGCGCTTCGACTATATAACAACTCATTTAAATTTCGCAATTACCATATTGTTACTGCTATTATCCCCATTAACAAGTGAGGAAACTGAGGTACAGAAAGGGTAAGACAGGTGCCCAAGCCCCATGGACCTAAAATGTGGAGAAACTCAGATTCAAACCCAAGTAGGCTGGCTCTGAGCCAGGGCTCCACATGCCGCTCCAAAAGTAGGGACGGCAGAGAGGGAAGGACCCTGAAACCGGCTTCCTCCCTGGCTTTGGGAGAGCCAGGCACGCCAGTGCTGACAGAGGGGCCTGGCGGTGTAGAGGCGCCCTTCACCTTGGAGATGTACTGCTGGCAGATCATATGCTCTCCCGGCTTGATGTCCCGGGGGTTCCGGGTGATGAAGATGCCGCGGCCCTGAGAGCCACTGTCTGGCTTGCAGATGAACGTTCGGGTTTTCCGCTGACGCCCACAGGCGTGGAAGTCCCCGTAGCTACGTGCGGACAGAGGCTGCTGGTCAGAGGTCCCTGAGCATCATGGCTGTGTCTGGGCCCCTTGCTTGGAGTCCCTCCTGCCCTCTGGGCCATGCTCAGGCTGGAGCCCTCAGTATCAGAGCATTCCACTTTCATCCCCTGGGACGTTCAAGGTCGCAGAGCCAGAGTCTGCGGGGAACCCGATGGCGACCCCTTTCCACCCAGCGTGCCACTCACTCGGCGGGGAGGCACCAGGTGCGCGGGAAGATGTTGTACTCCAGGGGGTAGAGCTTCTGCATGCGCTTCATGTTCCGGGCCAGCAGGTCTTTGCGGCAGATTTCTGTCATGCCAGGGAAGTGGTTGATTTTCTGAAACGGAGCCGGCTGGTTATACCACCCCCCGGAGCAAGCGGCCATTCCCGGGGTCTGGGCACCCGGAAGGCAGGTGAGGACTGGGAAGGTCAGGGTGGTCAGCAGAGGTAAACCCTACCTCATAACCCAAGGAGAAAATAGGAAGGTTCCCTAAGGCAGGTGAGAAACCCCTCCTCGGACTCTTCCCAAAACACAGAAACACTGGGGTTAGCAAATGAGGCTCAGCGAGAAGGGCGAGATAGGGTTGTGGGCCATCTAGAGCCACCCTGATGTCCCTGAGACCACAGGAACTAGTTCTGTAAGCGACTGGTGTGTGGCGGTACAGAGCAAATGAGACAGCATTTCCCCAGTGAGAAAAGGACGCTGGGAAGCAGCCCACTGAGCGCATGACCCCAGAGGGCACCGCGCCACCTGTCCACAGCACAGCGCGGGAGGCAGCCTGTCACCGCGCCTCAGGGGTCTCTTGCTGACTGTCCCACTCGCTAGCTGCATGAGCCTCTGAGGCGCAGCGTCCTCCTCTTCACGGAAGACATCTGCCACTCAGGGCCGTTTTTGAGGACTGGGACTGGCTACGGTCTCCTTAACAAGGTTATTTTGAGGTTTTCCCTCAAAATGAGCCTGGAAGCCCCTTTTCATTATTTTATCCCTAACCACCACCAAGACCCAATTAGAGGATCACAAAAACACCATGAAGAGGTCATATTTGGCCCTGGGTGGTGTGGCTCAGTGGATTGAGCGCAGACTGCGAACCAAAGGGTTGATGGTTTGATTCCCAGTCAGGGCACTTGCCTGGGTTGTGGGCCAAATCCCCCAGTGGGGGCCACGTGAGAGGCAACCACACCTTGACGTTTCTCTCCCTTTCTTTCTCCCTCCCTTCCTCTCTCGCTAAAAATAAGTAAATAAAATAAAAAATATGCACTTAAAAAAATAAGTCATATTCATCTCGTGGACCCTGGTCCAACTTTCTTGACTTCCTTGCGGCCATGAAGGGCCCCGCGTGACTCAGTGGCTGTGAGGTGCTAGGCTAAGCTGCTGAGACGGCTGGATCCCTCAGCTGGCTCTGAATCCGAATGGGCCTGCCCTGGAGGGGCCAGCTGGGTACGCACACCTCCACGCACACAGCAGACAGTGAGACGGGATGTGCCCAGCAGACACTGCTCCAGATTACAGAAGTGCCAGAGACTCCAGAGGTTCCAGGGGAAAGTACTTCCACTTGAGCACACGCCCCTGGCCATGGCCTTCCATGCTCTGTACAGGGGCATGGCCACCAACCGACGGCCTTGGGTGCCTGGCAGAATGGGTGGGAGTGGTCATTCTGGGGCCTCAGCCCCTCTGGGATCTTGGGTCTGGAGGTTGTACCTGAAACCTCTTCATGTCCATGACGCGTTCCAGTGAGACAGCGCAGTCTGTCCAGTACACGGTCCATTCTTCATCTTCCCCCACCTCCTTCAGGCCACACGTCTGGGCTGCCCGACGCACTGCGGAGAGAGGTCGCAGGGCCAGCCTGGGCATTGGCAGAGGCCTTGGGACTGAGTCTGGATTATATAAGGAACAGCCCTGACTGGAGAGCAGGTTGAACACAGAGGTAGTTCTTACCTCGCCTGGGCACTTCGGGTGCTGTGTGACAACTCCAAGTGCATGAAGCTGTCAGGGCTCTTCCACAACCTGACAGAGAACACTAGAGCCTGCCTGTCTGCTCCCGTCATTCCCTCTCGCCATTAGGATGCTTCCTAGCCTACAGAGCTGACCCTTAGTAGGACTCACACTGGCATCTCACCCTCTGGGTGGCCCCTTCCACTGGCGACAGTGGGGACAAGAGGGGGGAAAGAGACGGCTGACCCAGCTGGTATTTTCTTAAACAATCACTGAAGCCACCTCAAGAACTTCCTTGAAAACAATGATTTTAACCGGGTCGTGTCTCCAATAAAAACTGAAAAGGCTGAGGCAACGGTGCCCCTGAGTAATTTTTTTCCTCCTTAGCCAAAGGGATTCCGAATCTGCTGGTGGCCGAGCCAGGCCGCTCAGTTCGGGCTACAGGCCAGCCTAACAAGATCCAGGTGCTGGACGCCTGACTAGAGACCATCTCCAGGGTAAAAGGGAGAGCAGTGGTGAGAGGGTCAAGCCAGGCACTTACCACTCTCATACCTGCAGTTGGTCAGGTTGATGGCCAGGGCTCTGGAATGCAGGAAGAGCAGAAATCAGGCACACTTACAACAGAAGAGCAGATCACGGGCCGCCAGGCACCCGGATGAAGAGACCCCCAACAAACGCACAATGCAATTTGCTTCCTCCAGACACCTCTGGAGGGCCAGGATGATATGAACATGCTGAAATTCTACACCAAGTCAGCTCTAATGGCTCTGGATTTCCTTTGTTTTTGTTGCACCAAAAGTTTAATGATGCCCCAGTATTCCCTGCCGTCCTCCCCAGGCCAAAGGGAAGACGCCGAGTCCCAGCCCAACTGCAAAGGGAGGCCAGGGGGTGACTCTGGGGCTGAGCAAGTGAGGGGGTCCAGGGAGCAAGTTACCTGCATTTTTGCTTTCTCTTTCTTCTTCCAACCTCTAAATCATCTAAGTCAGCTGGGGCTATGTCTTTTTTCGGAATTTTCGTGGCTACAATGGATAAGGGAACATCATTCCCCAATGCCTCACAGTCAGCCTTTGAGAGTGTCTGCTCAGAAGGGTCAGGAGGGATGGTAACTTCCTCCTTATCACATTCCTCTTCGGATTCTTCTTCTTCAACATAGTCTTCCTCTGATTCACTCGTCTTACAGGTAGTCGGCTCCATCCTTTAGATTCTGAGGGACAGGGTGGATGGGAGTGGAAGATGAGACTTCCCTCCAGGCCTGGAAAGGCCTGCAGGAGTCTGCCCTAAGGACCTTCCCCATGTTATAAGGGGATGTTGCTGCTCCTCTAGAACAAGATAATCCCACTGCAAAACTGGCTGTTTCCAAGTAATTCCGGGGGTTATGGGATGCCTGTAATTATGCTGGGTTTGCCGAGAAGCCCTAGTCATCCAAGATCACACCACACAACACCCCTGGGTGCAGCAGGAGCCAAGGCCATGGCATACAAAGGGGATGGCTGAAGGAGCACCGATGGCTTTGGTCTTATGCTCTTAAAATAGAGCGTAAGACCAAAGGTTCCCTAGGCCAGCCCTTTACCTGTCCCATGACTCAGTTTCTCTGTGTGTACACACTGGGGCCGGGCACCCACTAGCTAAGACCCCTCGGGAACTGATGGCAGAGGAGGAGCCCCCTCCGGCCTCTGCCCACCCGGACTGCTGTGCCTGCCGCTAGTGGCCTGGAACTGGACTCAGCTGGTTGCTCATGCCTGCCCTTCCTGCCCAGGTGTTGCTCCGCCTCCGGGACCGCCTCCTTGTTCCTTCAACAGGGTTTGCCGTCCCTGCCGATCGCGAGGGGGAGCCCGCTCCCCACTGGGTTTACTCTTAGCTACGCGATCCCTGAGGCGGTGGCTTCTCCTTCCACAAGCTGGCCGCCACCGCCCACCGTCGCCATAGACACGAAGGCGACTCCCATAGGGGCAGCGTTCTGAGGGCGGGGCTTCCCGAGAGCCACACCCACTCGGCCGCACTCCCTCTTCCTGTGGAAGCTGACAGGGTGGATCATGGGATTTGTAGTCCTTACGCTGCCACGCTAGTTCGCTTAACCCCACTCCTTCCCTCTTTTGAATTTTCGGGCAAAGCCCGGAATTTGGCCAACTCTGTTCCGGAGACACATCTGCTTGCCTTTCTGAAATTTTAAAATAACCATCCCTGAGCAGTGTCTGCATTCGGCAGGGGCAGCTGCGGTTAGCACACACCCCCTGGAGGCGCTTTGTCTGGTGGGCTGAGACAGCGCCACTGACTAAGGAATAACGGCCTTCTCATTAGATGGCTCCTGCACTGGCTTTTCGACGTCCGTCCGCTCTAGCTGACTTCCAAGGACCACTTCCACCAAACTCAGCTCACCTCGTCACTTTTAGGATCATCACATGTGGCTCAATTTAGAGGACACTTCAAAAATTTCCCTCCTTTAAAAAGACACACACGTTTTCTGATTTACAGACTTCCCCATTTTTCTTCAGCTTAAGATACTCTCAATTACCCACTCCTTGAAATGCTTTGGAGTCCTCTGCCCTCCAGGACACTCATTTTTCTCATTCTTTCAACAAATATTTAGTGTTCCAGGCACTGTTCTAGGGTCTGAACCATCACCATTTCTTGCCTGAATTGCTAACATTCAGCAGCAACCTCTTCACTGGACTCCCTGATTCAATCCATGTATCCATCCATCCATCCAATGCAGCTAAAGTATCCTTCCTAAAATGCAAATATTACTCCCCCAATTGAAACTCTTCAGAGTTTCTCATTAGATCAAATCCAAAGCCTCCTAGTCCATCAACAAGCAAGCAAAGAGGTGGGGAGGCCGGGGGGCTGGATCAGCCCTTCCTACCACTACCCCAAGTGTTCCATCCTCCAGCTTACAAAAAGCTCCCATCTAAAACTTCCCCTTCTTGAGAACTTACAAAGTATAGTACCACCATAGAGAAAGCCTTTTGATTTTTTTCCCCCTTTTCATGGAAAAACTTATTTGGGACAGAGAAGGCTTCCCTCGGAACATCAGTCCTATGGAGTAACTGGAAAAGTCCTGATATTTGGCCTCACCACCTTGGCCACAAAATCCACTTTGCTATAATGGTCATATGCTCCTAAGTGCAGAGGGTTGCAGAAAGAGGTATTAAGCTAAAATGATTGCAACGTGCCAAAAACTTGAGGGCAAGCAAAAAGATTTGGTAGAAATGTAAATGTTCAACACATAAACATTGAAATTTTCAGTTATAATATTTCTCTTATGAGATGGGTTATGAGTACATATTTTGCCTTATTCCGATGAGACTTTATAATGTCTTTTAGGATTAAAACCTCTGAAATTCTAAATATATTAAAGCTTCATAGAGGCCTGGGGACAGAGAGCCAACCACCTGGGGACCTGAGCCTCAGCTCAGGTGAACTGCAAAGGAGAGCACCAGTGAAGAGTTGCTGCCTGGAGACGTGGTCCCAAGTGCGTGCTCCCAGCTCAGCTTCGGGCATGCGCAGTTCCAGCTCCGCTCCTGATGAGCTGTGTGACCTCAGACGAGTTACTAAACCTCTGTCTGCCCACCTCTATCTCTTCATCTGTTAAGTGGGGGTACTAAGAGAACCTATACCTTTAAAGCTGTGCGGACCATTTGTTTTCACACGAGACAAAGTAGGTGAAGAACTCTCAACTCACTGTTGGGGCTGGAGAATTCGAGGTGGTCAAGCAGGTGAAGAATGTGGTATATAATGAGGGCATCTGGATGGAGCAAGGCCTGAGGCAGGGCAGAGATGAAGACATAAAATGCAGTGGTAGAGCCTGGCTGGTGTAGCTCAGTGGATTGAGCGTGGGCCTGTGAACCAGAAGATCACGGTTCGATTCCTAGTCAGGGCACATGCCTAGGTTGCAGGCCAGTTCCCAGCAGGGGACACATGAGAGGCAACCATACATTGATATTTCTCTCCCTCTCTCCTTCCCTTCCCCTCTAAAGATTAATAAATAAAACATCTTAAAAAATGGAACGGTAGACAAAGGGGGAACAAGCAGAGGGGCAAGATCAGAGGATGTGGGGGTATTCTGGAGTATATAACTCTTGTGCATGCCCCTTTCTCAACAGTAGGTTTGACATCCCTGGGGGCTTGTCCAAGAAGAAAGGTGAAAAGAAGCAGATACATCCATGAGAGCTCATTCATTTGATTTATTCCAAGGTCTCTTCTCTTTAAAGAGACCATTTTTATCAGTTTTTTATCCATCCTCTTAGATGGAGACAGGTGAGAAGGCAGCCATGAAAATGCCCAAATGACCCTCAAAAGCAGGTCTCCTGAAAGGGACATAGGCCAGTGGGAAAAATAAGTATTTCTGGCAGGATTATGGCTCCTTCTGGGCAGTCAAGGCTACCAGGGCTGCCTGTACCTCTTCTGCCTGGGCTGGGGGCAGCAGACAGTCTTGAATGAGGGCCAGAGCAGCTGCCTCTGTCAGGCTGCCAAAGTCCTGCGATGTTTTGACAGGGAGGTGCCCGGCCAGCTCACAGAGAGCAACATTGAAGGCCTCACTTTCCTTTATCCCAAAGCTGGACTTCCGGGCCCAGAGGATGACTCGGATGCCTGTGAGATCTGAGGAAGGTGAAGTCTTTCCAGGTGGGGCTCCCCGGGTCACAAACAGGTTATGTGCAATCTCGTGGTCAGTCAGATAGTCAGTGGCTCGACATACCCTGCTTATCAAGGCTTCCAAGTCGGGCCTTGGCCCACTGGTATAAAAGAGGAAGCCAGGAGCTGGGACAGCCTGGAGCAGGTGCAAATGGCCCCCAGGGTCCAGGCGTGTACTTGGTGCCCTCTCCACAGGCAGTCTGTGGGCCAGGTAATAGCCATGCAGGTGGAGGTGGTTCACTGAAGCCAAGCCACCCAGGCTGTTGAAGCCCACGCGAAAGCCCGGGTGAGAGCTCAGCAACACAGCTTCCAGCCCGGCCCGAAGTGCACCTGGTAGCAGGCGCTGGGGGAGTGCCCGAGCTGGCTCGGGCACCAGCAGTACATGGCCCCACTCCAGGGGACTGATATTGATCATCACCAGGATATCCTCTTGTTGGAGAACACCTGGGAGATCAGGCTTTCGGCGCAAACGGAAGAGGACTTCTTCGGGCCGGATTTTGTTGAAATTAAACTGTTTAGGGTCAAATGCCTGCCTCACGCTGCTGATGTTCTGGGGGGGCCTCCTCTGCACCCCTCGCTCCACATTCAGCTGAGCCACAAAACCCACAGCACCAGGGAGGGTTTGGGTCTGAAGCTCCCCCAGGCAATAGCGAAACAGCCCCAGCTCCATCCGCTGCCTCCAGGCAGAGCAGAGTGCAGAATCAAAACTAGAGCGAGGCACAGGCAGCGCGTCTGGGCGACTGGGTGCATTCCTCGGCCACTGAATCCCTTCCCACAGAAGTTCCTGTTGCCCATAGACAAAGTCAGGAATGCCTTGCTCTTCCCAGTCCTCCTTGTTTGGAGATAGCAAATAGGAAGTTTGATTTGAACCATGTGAAACAGCCATGGGGCCGACCTGAAAACAATCACAAAAGGCGAGAAAACCTATGATGCGATTCCACTTCCAGAGATTTTTTACTTTCATTTTCAAATAATCTCTACTTGTTCTTCTGATTACAAAAGTAATATATTCTAAAAATTATATATGTTGAGTGAACTTTCTTAATGGAGAAAATACAACCTTTATTCTAATGGCCAGGGGAAAATCACAATTTACATTTGGCCCCATTTTTTTTCTATAAATTTTTTTGGGGAGGAAGCAACCCCACACTTCTACTCAATCTCGCCACCTCCTCCTTTCAGCAGCTTGGAACCCTCACTTTGTGCAATAGTGTTAAGTTCATTCATTCATGCATTTGTGAATGTGAACCTACCTTGCAGGGGAGTTATAAGAATGGAAGTGGGTCCAAACGCATAGCGTTTGGCATTCAGTGGGTCTTCAGTAAACAGCCTCAGTGAGCAACAAGTTTATGGCTATTTCTGTAGAGGCGACCGACATAGGGGTTGCAACACGTCAGGTAGGGACCCGGTAGTATAACGTCTGGATGGAAAAGCAGTCCTGTTGCACCGGGGAAGCCGACTGCCTTTGGCCACTCAGCAAGTTTCCCGGTTACCTTGGTTCCACAGACTTCCTGCTGCCCTTTACCGGAGCCCGACCAAGGTTGCCACCACCACTTACTTCAGGTGAGGAAGACGCACCATACGACCTGCGCAAAGTTCTTACAGCTGACTGACTGGTGACCTCGACGCATGCGCACCCTGAACACTGAACGCAAGCACGCAAGCACGCGGCGGCTCGCCCCGCCCACCTTCAGGAGGCGGGGCCTTGCAGCCTGGGCCCCGCCCCGGAGCGTCCGGCCCCGCCCCGGACCACGCCCCCAACTCGCTAAGACTGCCAGGTGCCCGCAGCGGGAGGCGGAACCCGCTGGGAACTCTTAGGAGCTTAAAGGAGGGGGCGCGTCCGGGGGCGGTGGCTCCACAGGCGGTTGCTGAGGGGACGGGACGGTGACGCGGCAGGAGGGCGGAAGTGAGAAAGTTGTCTGCGTCCCGAGACGAGTTAGCGGAACTCTGCGCGCGTCGAGGCGATGGGGAGCTCGGGCAGCCGTCTGTCCAAAGAGCTACTGGCGGAATACCAGGTGCGCGGGACACCGGGCCCCGGGGAGCTTGCGCGCGGGCCTGCGCCCGGGAGCGGCGTCCCGGTGCCAGCGGCGGGGCGGGCGCGGCCTCTGGGCAGCCCGCTGACTCCGAGTCCTGTTCCGCCTTCCAGGACTTGACGTTCCTGACCAAGCAGGAAATCCTCCTGTAAGTGCTGTCTCCAACCTCGCCTCCGGAATCCTCTAGAGGTGGCTTCGGGGGGCTCTTTCTTACCGACGGGGGAACTGAGGCCACCCAGAGGGAGCAGCAGGGGCCCGTCTGAGGTCGGCGGCTGGGCCGGAACCGGAGTCCAGCTCCCCGAGCCCGGGGCTGCGCCGTGCTGCCGGCACACCCTCTCCGCCGGCGTCGGGGACCCAGCTGTACAGCCTCCAGCCAAAGGGGCACTTTTTGGCCCTGTGCTCCGCTGGCTTCTGCATAACCAAACCTCCAGCCCCAGTCCGGCGGGGGCTGCTGCGGCTCTGCAGACAAGCCTTGGGGAGCATGGCTCCTTCTCCCAACTTCACCTGAATAATACAGGAACCGTTAACGCTTATTGATCACTTAACGCTGCGCCAGGGACGGTGCTAAATTACCTTACATTACCTCATTTAATCCTCCTGGGGGAGGTACGGGGACGACGAAACAGGTCCAGAGAACTCTGGTGCCTTGCCTACACTCCAGGAGAGGAATTGAACTAGGGCTGAACTCTCTTCCTAGCCGTTTGGCAGTTTTATGTGGCCAGAGCTTCCTTTGCCTCAAGAAATCCCTATGGCGAGTAGGCAGTGCTGCGGCCGAGATAGTTTAGAGTAGCTGCTAAAAAGAGGGAGGAGGCCTTGAGGAACAGGGGATCCCTGGAGTTTTGCTTATTTCTCCCTCTTCTTCTGAGCCAACTTCTGGCTCCTTCCCCAACCTTTCCACCCTTCAGGGAGCTCTAGAACCGGTGTCCAGCATACAGTAGGCCCTCAGTAAATAACCTATTGCTAGAACAGGCTCCCAGCTTGTTCTGTTTGTGACCTATCTCCCTTTGGCTTATCAAGCCTGATGACTCAAAAGTTCTCTGTACTTAGCTCAGCTCCTCACCCGGTGTATAAGGGGCAGCACGGCAGGGAGTGCGGGTGCAATACACACAGACAGGTGGGTCGACCAGTTCCCCTCCTTCTTCCAGAGCCCACCGGCGGTTCTGTGAGCTGCTTCCCCAGGAGCACCGGAGCCAGGAGGGGTCCCTGCAGGCCCGAGTGTCCTTGGAGCAGATCCTCAGCCTTCCAGAGCTCAAGGTGCCAGTTCCCCACCCTCCCTCTGCTGTTCTCCTGAGATCATGTAGTCACCGCTCCCATTCTGGCCTTTCCTCTGTTTAGCCCTAACTTCCTGGGGGTCAAGGGCTTTACCTTGATCACCCAGTGGCATTAGCTAGAGCAGTGTTTTTTAGATTGGGATTCTAGGAACACATCCCTAGAGTTTCAAAAGAAGTTCTGTCCTTTAAGAAGCACTGGGTTACCTTGAAGTTTGAGAGACCCTGTCCCAGAGGCTCATTGCTTCTCCGCAGGGCTGCTGTGAAAATTTCTATGTGAAAGGCCTGGCCTAGTTCATGTAACACAGCAAATGTTCAATTAGATGTTCTTTTTGCTTAGGATGGCTTCCTCTTCCTTCTCTGCCCCTAGGCCTGCCTGTGGTTAACCTGACTCCCAGTAGCTGTCCCTGCCCCCTCCCCAGCTGGGTCACTGGCCCTCCTGCTTTTCAAAAAGTGCTGGTCATAGTCCCCCATGAGCCTGCGCTCCTGGCATGGGTCCTGTGAACTGTCCCCTCCACTTCCCTGGGGGGTTTGAGCGTGACCTGGGCTGCGTCCCGCGGCCTTCACAGAAGCTGTCTTCCTAGGCCAACCCCTTCAAGGAGCGCATCTGCAGGGTCTTCTCGACATCCCCATCCAGAGACAGCTTGAGCTTCGAGGACTTCCTGGACCTCCTCAGCGTGTTCAGTGACACGGCCACACCAGACATCAAGTCCCACTATGCCTTCCGCATATTTGGTGAGGACCAGACGGGGCCCGGAGACAGGCAGGGACTTCTGGGTGGTGCTGGTGGGGAGCCGGGGGTGACCAGTACTCATCCTGATCACGTCCTTTTGGGCTCTCTGCACCTGCCTCTCTAGATTTCGATGACGACGGAACCTTGAACAGAGAAGACCTGAGCCAGCTCGTGAACTGCCTCACAGGAGAGGGCGAGGACACTCGGCTCAGTGCTTCAGAGATGAAGCAGCTTATTGACAACGTGAGCGGCTGGGCCCCGGGAGGGCGGGACCCCGGGCCCAGGGGACGGCCCTGGCCTGACACTCTCCCTTCCCCAGATCCTGGAAGAGTCCGACATTGATCGGGATGGGACCATCAATCTCTCCGAGTTCCAGCACGTCATTTCCCGGTCACCGGACTTTGCCAGGTAGGACACTGGTCCCAGGTGTGGCATCTGGTCTGGAATGTGACTATGGGGGCGGTGTCCAGCGAAAGCCCTAACCCCTGAGTACCCCAGAGGGGACGGACAGACGCGAGACGCAGCCCCCACCCCCCAAGGCTCTTAGTGGAGCGGTGGGTAAGTTTGGGTTTAGTCCTCACCCTCCTCTTCCAGCAGCAAATCCAACCCACTCTCTTCTTCTTCAGCTCCTTCAAAATCGTCCTGTGACAGGAGGCCCAGCCTGTTGCCCAGCACCCTGTAGCGGAACTCCTCCACGGCTGAGCCATGGCCAAGGTCACATCTGTTGCCAGGGCCGGCCAAGCTGGCCTGGTCGAGCTGGCACTGTGAAGCCTTGTCCCGGGCAGGGAAGGACCCTCCATGTCAGGGCCTCACCCCTTCTCATTGCCACCATCATTGCTCTTGTTTCTACTAATCAATAATAATAAAGGTTTAGAAATTCTGACCCTGTGTCTGACACTGGAAACAGCAATATAAAACTGGACTCCTAGGAGGCTTGGGTTGCGCTGGGCCCGAGCCTCTACCGCAGGGACCAGCAGGAAGTCCACGTGGCACAATGAATGGGGAGGAGTAACGGGGGTGGAGTCCGTTGCATCCTGATCATGGGGGTCATTACATTAATTTCTGCATGTGTCAGCATTTGCCAAACTGTTTACCAAAGGAAAAAGTTATTTACTGTTCAGGCATTTTTAAAATTAAAAAAAATTAAGGAGTTAAACAAAAAACCCTGGCCCGTGCCCTGACTCCGGAGCAGAGTAAGGGCTGAAGTGGCTCTGGCCCACCGGCCCCTGGAAATTGGGGGCACAGGGCCCCCCAGAACTCGGGAAACCAGACCAGCCTCAAGAACCAACAGTCCTTTAAGAGGAAGGCCTGTGATTCAACTTCAGTTCTTCAGATTTTATTTAAAAAACAAAAAAACAAGCATAAAGTGCATCTTATTTAAAAAAAATATATAAAAGCCACAAAAACTGGGGCCCTTGTCCTGGGCAGTGTTGATATCCCTTAGACTGGAGGCAGGAGAATGGAGGGTAAAGGGGGACTGGGTCTCAGACGAGGTCGGTGTGGGTGTGGGGACAGGGTCACCCAGGTTTCCAGGCTGGACGGAGGAAGGCAGGCGACAGTCTCTTCCCAGAATTCCGAGGGAAAGGTGAACATCGTCATACACTCTCCTGAGCTGACGCTGCCCGCTGTCAACATGGCCACAGCCTGATACAGGCCGGGAAGCTCCAGAGCTGTCTGGAGCCCGGGGCCCCGTCGCGGCTGCAGTGCCAGCGTAGCCCTCCGGTCCCTGAGGTGACGGGATGATGGCTGTAACAGCTTGGCCCGCTGGCCAGGCAGGACTCACGGAGCCCGAGGTGGGCCCCTGGCTCTGCGTGACAGGGGCCGCCTGTGGCAGTAGAATAAGGCAGAGGCTGGAAGAGGCCAGCTGGTGAGGGATTCCCGATTCTTGTCTCAAACCACCACATCGGATCGGTCCCCAAGGCCCCCACGAGGCCATGAGCCCACCAGGCCGGGGGCGGAACCGGAGCGGCTGTGTGTACCTGGCATTCTGTGTGGTCTCATCCTCATTTCACATTTTCAATGTTTTTTCTAAACCGAAGGCTCAGTTTACACCAGGAGCACTGTTCTGCCCACCCAGGCAGGTGCCCATCTTCAGCGGAGACCTCTGGGGCCACAACTGTCTCGGTCGGAGGGGCCTCAGTGCCCGAACAGCGGCCGGCTGGCCCCACTGCCCACAGGGCTGGGCACCAGAGTCCGGCCAGCGCCCTCTGAGCATTCACGGCCCCTGAAGCCAGGGTCCACTGCTCTCCAGGTCAGCTGTCACACTACCGAGTCCCGGATGTCAGAGCCCAGGCGGACCCGGGGCCGGGGGCACACTGGGGACACCTCCACAAAGCTGTCATGGACGCTGAGCGGCCTCTTCTCTGACTCAGTGAAGACCCGGGGCCCCGGGGAGTTATCCGACAGGGCCTGGTAGCCTCGGTGGTCGAGCGGGGTGCTCGGAGGACCCACGCCGTTGAGCGGCCGGGTCTCGGGCGGCAGCACCGCAGGGCGGGTCTTGGGGTGCACGCTGGCGCACTCCCCCTGCTTCAGGAAGAGCTTCATGCCGTCCCGATGCCGGTAGAGGACGAACAAAAGCAGCAGCACCACGGCGAACACGAACAGCACGCTCATCACCAGGAACTCGGTCCAGTAGGACTTGACCACACCCCAGCTGGCCTTGCCCTGGGACGGCGCGCTCACCCGAGACGTGAGAGGCACTTTGCCACTCCGGCCGGCCACCGTGCCCTCCACCTTTGGGCAGTACCTGGCCACCAGCTGCCGGAAGTTTCCCTCCAGAGACCAGCACTGGAACTCCCCCAGCTCCTGCTGGCTGCCCACCAGCAGCAGGTCCCCGGTGGGCAGCACCCGGCAGGAGGCGGAGCCGGAGCCATCGACGGGGACATCATTATGCAGCCAGAGCCGTGTCGCCAGGTTGGAGAGCAGCGGGCAGGCCAAGGTGTTCACTGTATTGGGCTGGAATTTGACGTGCTCACAAGGCTCCTTGTCTGTGGGCAGGAGAGGCACAGGGTAGAGAGGGCCGGGCATCCGCCGCAGCCCAAGCTCACCCACCTCCCTCTGGGTTGCACCCATCAGGCCTCGACAGCGACTATAATGTGACTCACGTCCCATCACCTTGCTTGCTGGCCAGAGGGACAGGGATGGGAAGAAAAGCACTTACACCCACCCACCAGCATCTGAGTTCAGGAACCTTCTAAGCAACTTGGCCCCTGCCTCCCTCCAACCTCTGACAGGCACCTTACCTGCTGGTACAGCAACCCGAGCCCTGACCGAGGAAGCGTTGCAGAGGTTGCTGGCATCAGCCCCCTCGATGTCCTGGACCCATGGCCTGTGGACCAAAGAGAGTCTAGGGTAGGCCAGGAACACCCTGTGAGCCTGTGCCCCCACCACCCAAGGTGCAGCCCTGAGGGCCAGGCCCTGGGGCTCAGGAACCTCCAGGCCCAGAGCAAGGGTCAAAGGCAGGCCCCTCTGTCTTCATGGTATTTCAAATAAAAGTCACCGTAACGCTTCCCTGAACTACGAAAGCAGTCCGAGCCTTTAGAAAAAGTGTGGAAGGGCACCTGGCTCTGTATGTACATAGTCGTCTCATTTAAAGCAACGCACACGCACTGACTCATTTCATACAGTGTGATGAAGGAAAAAAGTAATTCTTGATGCACACAGAAACACTCAGAATCACCCAGTCAAGCACAAAGGCTAAAAATACTGTAGGTCCTGGCCAGGGAGCTGAGTTGCTTAGAGCACTGTCCCCATACAGCAAGGTTGTGGGTTCGATCCCTGCTCAGGGCACATACCAGAATCAACCAGTAAACGCATAAATAAGTGGAACCATAAATCGATGTTTCTCTCAAAAATCAACCAGTCGATAAAAAATCATTTAAAAAATACCGTAAAAACCACCCACAACCCAGCAGCCAGCAATCATGACAAGGAGCATTTTGGAGGCATCTCTCCCAGGATATGTGTGTGCATTCACATCTGGTTTTGTGACATATAAAACTGGCACCAGTTGCCGTAGCTCAGCGAATCGAGCGTGGGCTGTTGAACCAAAGGGTTGCCAGTTCAATTCCCAATCAGGGCATGTGCCTGGGCTGCAGGCCAGGTCCCCAGTAGGGGGCGTGCAAGGAGCAACTGCACACTGATATTTCTTTCTTTTTCCTTCCCTTCCCCTCTCCCTAAAAATACATAAATAATAAAATACTTTTAAAAAGAACAACAAAAAAACTGGCACCAGCTGTCCCCCTGTGTGCAGCAAGGACACACCACAAGTGTGGCAGGTCCCATTCCTACTCAAAATGCACTTAATTTTACACACACATATGTAGAAAAATCGGGGAGGATATACACCCAGGCGGGATTAGCCGTTGCTGTATTTTGATTAGGCTTCCCTCCGTTTTCTAAGTTTTCTACCTGAACGTTTTATAACCTGGGCAAGTTCCACTGAAGACAACTTTCAATGGCTTCCCTCGTGGACTGTCTCGGAGCCCTCACTTTCTGTGGTTTAGATCTGCTCACGCACCAATCCCAGCTTTCCCGCCAAGCTTTCCAGAGCTGCAGCACGTCCAAATTTTCCAAATCATGCCCCTCTTCCCCCGCCTCTCAGGTGGGGAAGGCCCACAATTTACCATCTGGACTACAACACTTTTGAGAGTCAGAAGGGGAGCGGATTCATAATCGCATTGCACCAAGACTGTGGTGGTAAGAGAAACTGCACAGTGACTGCAGAGCGCCTGGGGCCGGTGGTCTGAGGCCAAGGGCACAGGGACAGACAGGCGGGATGGGGCCTTCAAAAGCTCTCACCTGGAGGCCGCCTCAGGGCGGTAGAGGCTGAGGTGCAGGCATCTGGAGCCGCTCCAGGCGCAGTAGGGGTCCCGGGCCAAGAGGCAGTCCCCGCAGCTCGGGTACAGGCTGCAGTTGGCCACGGGCACCTGGACCACACCCAGGTGGGAGGCTGCGTACAGCAGGCCCTGTGCAGATGCTGGCGTGAGAGGCAGCCCCGGCCACCGCCCCCAGCCACACCCGGCTCAGGTGCCCAATCAGAGCCACTCCCCAAGGGCCTCCTCTCATGCCCTCCTGACACCCTACTTTCCCACACTTGTCTGTGAGAGGGGCACCCCAAGTGTGCTGACCGGCCTCTTCTGCCTGCTTACCCTGCCGGGGTCCAGGAGCAGGTTCTGCACCGGCTGGCCCGGAGGGAAGATCTGCAGCTCCTCAATGACGTGCACTCGGGGGCCCACGCTCACCGCCTTGTGCAGCCGGCCGTCCCCTGGAGTGAGGACGGTGGTCAGGCCCTGGGCGCTGCCTGCTGCCCACACCCCACAGCCGCGCCCCGGGGCCTCCGCGCCCTCCGCGCCGACCCCTCCATGCTGGCCCTTCCATAGGCACTCACCGGTGCCCAGGAAGAGGACGTCGTAGGTGCCGTGCAGGCCTTGGACGCGGTGCACAGCCACGCGCTGGTAGCGGGCCTGCGGCTGCAGCAGCAGCAGGTGGCTGCGGACCTGCCCGTCCATCAGGAAGTGGTCCTTGAGGAAGTTCAGCACGCGGTCGGGCAGCTGCAGGGACGAGTTGATCTTTCTCTCCCGGGTGCTGTTGGTGATGCACTGGAGGAGGAGGTGGCGGCAGCGTGAGGGTTGAGGGTGGGAAAACCCATCCCGCCAGGACGGCTTCTCCAGAGGAAGGCAGGTGTGTCTGCCCCTCCCTCAGAAGCCGCAGGTCTGCAGAGCCCGGGGCCGACCTAGAGGGCAAAGCCCAGGGTGCGGGCACCCAAGGGTCCCCGCTGGCAGATTTCCCTGCAGTGCGGCTTTCTGCCCCGCCCGCAGGCCGGGAGCAGCAGGCCCACACTCCCTGCTGCGTTAGCAACCTCTCTCTGACCAGGTGTCCTAGCACCGGCGCTGGTGATACACACCCCAGCTGACCGTGCCCAGGCGTGCTCCACACACCTGTATCCTGGCCCAGGTCTGCTCTGCAGGAGCCCATGGGCATGGAAGGAAAGAAGGAAGCACTGCCTCTCCACAGCCTGGCCACGCTCCTCACCCCAAAATTAAATAAGGAGTCACCGCCATCAGGGAGGCATGAGTGGGACAGTCACACAGGCGGGCAGTAAGTGACAGGGACACACTGCCCATCCTGAGAAGGTTCGAAGGCCTTCCGACAGTCACGGTCACAACTGTCCCAGTGGGGGCAAGCAGGCCGGAACTTTTGTCCTCACGTTCAAAACGGACTTGGAGAAGCCACGTCATCCCAACCTGGGGAGGTGCCCTGTCCTCCCGGCCGCCCCCCCGCCGGGGTGCAGGGAGAAGTCCTCACCGTGCCGGGCCGCGGCGTGGGCACCGGGTTGGTCACCGTGTACCACTGCTGGGTCTCCCGGTTCACCTCCTTGTAGAGGCCGCTGAAGGCCCTCTGCACGTCCCTCATGGAGAAGACGCAGACGGCAGAGCCCTCCGTGGTCCCTCTGTGCCTGCAGGAGACACGGCTGCTGAGCCCGGGAGCCCGGCCTCCCCCTCGACCCTCCCGTCCCCCGCAGGGTCCTGGGGCCCTACCACTGGGACGTGAAGACCCCGTAGAACAGGGTGTCGCGCCAGTCCTGGGGGCTGGGGCTCAGCGTGAAGACGTCCTGCAGCACGTTGAAGGGGAAGCCGTCCTCGGGCCGCGAGCACAGCAGCTGGGCCTTCAGAAAGGACGTCCAGCGCTGCTGCAGGATCCGCCCGCCGCCCTCGTCGCCCTGCGGGAGGGAGAGAGGCCTTGGCTCCCTGCGCAGGAGCTGCCTTTCCAGAACAACTCTCATTTGCAAGTAGTTCTCTTATAAATATTTACACACAGGCGAAAGAGAAGGGATTAGCAAGGAACCTCCTAAAATGTTTGCAGCGGACTTTTCATAGGACAGGGAAGGAGGAATACAATGTAACAGTCGACGTTTAGTTTGCTGCCTGCCACACGCCGACAAGGTTTACAGGGACTAGTTTAACCCAGACGAGCAGGAGGCAGGTTTGGTTCATGTTCCCACTGCACAGACCAGGGCGCTGGCGCTGAGCAGGGACAGGACTTGCCCAAGCTCACGGGACGGGCAGGGACCGAGCGCATGCAGCCCGGCTCCGGAGTCCACACTCGTTTATTTTCTTGAATTGATTTTAGAGAAAGAGTAGAAAGCGGAAAAAGAGAAACGCCGATTTGCCGTTCCACTTATTGATGCCCTCACTGGTTGGTTCTTTGTATGTGCCCTGACCGGGGATTGAACCCACAAACTAGGCGCGCTGGGACGATGCTCTAACCAACTCCAGCCCAGGGCCCGAGCCCAGGATCTCTCTCTGTCTTGGGATATCTGCATGTAATTTTCTGTCCTGCAGCTCTCACTTTTTACGTAACAGAAAACAGTAAGAGGTATTGTGACTTATAAAAGGAGAGAAAAGCCGTTAGCTAGGCCGTTCTTCCCAGAGAACAAGAGAACCTCACAGAAGCGCAAACCTCCTGGTGGCGTCCTGACCTTGGCCTCAAGGAGCCTTTTCAGGGCTCTGGGTGGCCCACCCCCTCACCTTGCAGATGCGGGCAACCCGGGACACAATGGTGTTCTCGAAGAATTCAAACTCCTTGCCGGTCTCGCTGAAGAAGAAGTAGATCTTGTCATCGTCCCCTTGTAAGCTGCCCAGGCTCTCGGGGACGTAGGCTGAGGCCACAAACGCCGGGTCTGCGGGAGCCGGCGGGGAGCCAAGAGTCAGCCCGGGAATCCCAGGGCGGCGAGGCTCTGATCTCAGGCCCCTCCCCAGGGCTCTGGACCCTGCCCACGGCAGGGCCTCACCTTGCAGCCAGTTGAGGGAGCTCTCGGTCTTGGTGGGGCGGCGGGTCTGGCTCCGGGAGATGGCGGGGTCGTTCCCCTGGAAGTTGCTGACTGTTCCGGTATAGAGCTCGCCATCTGCCAAGAAGACATTCCCACGGGGCTCAGACCTGCAGTGACCCCAGCCCTGCCCCTCACTTGGGGCGCACAGAGGAGGGAACAGGAAATGGGAGAGGCCAAGGGCAGCCCAAGGTCACAGCTGCATTTCACACCCGTGGAGTTTCACCGGAACCTTCCGGCTCCCAGCACTCACCAACCATGAGGGCCGTGGACTTGAAATTGGGGTCAAAGGGACAACGGCCCTTGCCGTCTTCCAGAAGGATATTCCCCGCCTGGTCCCGTGCCAGCGTGAAGTTCTCCACGTTCTGTAGGGAAACAGATGAGGGGGCTCAGGGGAGAAACAACTCTGAGGGGGCGGGGGAGAGGTCGGGTGGGGGGGAGCCCAGTCTGGCAGCAACCTCTGCGGTGGGCACTCGCTGCCCCAGGAGGCAGAGGGGCAATGCAGCTTAGAAAGATGGGAGCCAGGAAGGAGCAGCCACAGGATTCAAACCCACGTTTGGCCGGCTCCGGGCGGGAGGCCCAACCCACAGCCTCCGATAAGGTGAGCACAGGGCAGAATCCCGTGGGTGTGAGAGTGTGGAGGGGTGTACAGGCGGGCTGTGAGGAATCTGCAGGGTGTGGAGTTGCGGGTCAGCCGTGAGCCCACCGCCACCAGGGGGCCTCGCTGGGCCCTGCCTTGCACCAGGGGTCGGTGCTGGAGAACAGCTCCCCGGGCCGGAAGTGGGGAAGCTCCCAGGCCGGCTGGGCTGAGGAAGGGCACTCACGATGTAGGTGCACAGGGGACTGAAGGCCCCCGTGCCGCAGGTGAACAGGTGGCTGCTGTTGAGTGGCAGGAGGATCTTGATATAGTTTTGACAGTCCCGCTGGGGAGAGACGAAGAGGGTGTCAGGCCCAATCCAGCCACCAGGGGGCACCGCCGAGACCCAGGGCCCTGGAGTCGGGTGGGGGTGGAAGGGGAGACCCTGCAGAATCCAGAAGCAGAAGCCAACCAGGGACCACAAATGTGTCATGTGCGCTGGAGGGGGACCTTGGGGCTCCGCTCGTGCTGTGGCTGGCAGCCCTCTCCTCAGTCTGGAGCGAGGGCAGAGAACGCCTCCTTTAGGCTGTCTCTTCAGAAGGTCCTCTTCAGGACGCAGTGTGAACAGCGGGTCCCTCCCAGCCCCCTTGGGGAAGAAGCCACGGCCCGGAGCCGGAGGAGACACGCAGCCGGAACCCTGGCTCCAGACTCACACAGGCTCCGCCGCCGATGGCGGCTCCAAGCGAGATTCCGCTAGTTCCCCCAAACCTCCCTGGAGACCTTCCTCTTTCACTCACACAACTCCACCCTCTGTTTTTTAAATGAAGTGTGTAACCTGACTACCTTTTAAATGCACCGGTTTTTGCCTATTGTTCGTGCTTCTTTATCGCAGTGGGGGCCCCCAGTGCCTAAAAATACCTGGGCACAAAGCAAGTGCTGAACGAAAACTACCTGTACGGCTGGGGCGGCCAGGGCTTGAACCTGTGGCTTGATCCCAAGGCCGGTGCTTGTCTGCCTCCACCTCAGCTGCCCTCCCCCAGCCCCACCCCCACTGGACTCAGGACCAGGAGGCTTCTGGGAATGGCGGGGAGTCCTCCAGAAGAACCCCGGGCTGGATCGGACCCACCCCCATGGGTCAGGCCCCCAAAATAAACAGGATCTGTCTGTCCCCACCCAATTGCTGCTCCTGCTGGAAGCTTGCGTTTATTCCGCACTTATTTTGTGCCAGGTGCCTCACCCCTATCGGCCCATGGAATTGCCCCTCACAGTCAGCCCGGGGACACAGGCACCACCAGCCCCATTTCAGGGGTGAGGACCCTAAGGCTCAGACAGGCCCATCTATTTGTCCAAGATTCAAAACCAGGTCCGGCCACCTCAGCAGCCTAGGTCCCGCCCAGCACAGCTGGCTGCGGCTGCCGCTGCCGTCCTGGGTTCAGGTCCACCCTGCACCCCACCCGCAGCCCAGGTGCCGGCTCACCTGTGGGTCCTTGCCCTTGAAGCTGCACTGCTGTTTCCTCTGGGCATCTGCGCTCCACAGCAGCTGGGGCGGGCGAGGGGGCAGGTGAGTGTGCACGAGGCAGTGGAGGGTCCCCAGTTCTTCACTCCGTTCCCCTCTCCGTGTGCCTCAGGCCCGGGCCCAGGAGGTCAGTCCTCCCGCCCTCCTTCCGCACTGCCATCCTCCCTGCCCAGCTTACCCAGCCCCGGCCATCGTCTCTCACCTCCTGGTACCCCCCGCCCGGCAGGAAGCTGGCGCTGCTGTTGAGCGCAAAGAGGACCTCTCGGGCACCCACGTAGAGGGTCCTCCCGTCACCGCTCAGCAACAGGGCCGTGTAGTTGGAGATATTTTCAGCTTGGAATCTGAGGAATGGCCGCTCTTCAGAGCCTGGGGAGAGGAAGACGGACATTACTTGGGGGCCACCCCTCCCACACAAACCCAGCCTCTAGGATGGACCAATCAGAGTGAAGGTAGGTCAGTAAGACAGTGGGTGGTGAGGGGCTGGGGACAGGGGGGTCGGGCTTATGGGGGGCGCAGCATTCCCCCCTTGCAAACATTCTGTGTGAAAGAAACAGAAGCACACAGATGAATGGAAAGGAACATGAGTTCATCACAGCACCATTCACGGCAACGAAACACCGAGACCTAAATGTCCGCCCACAGGGGACAGAAGGCGACCACTGGACAGGACACCAGCAGCTCGTAAAAAGGGTGTTTGTGTTTTTTTTTTCCAGAAGCCCCAGAAAAACAAGCAAAGTGACATAAGAAAAGGACATGGTCGAAATATGAAGTGAAGTAAAACACAAAGGGATGGTTTCGGAGCCCATGTCTGAACGTAGGAAAGTGGAGGATGTTCACACGCGCCCGAGTGGCAGCAGGCCCCAGGAGAAGGCTTGGAAGCACCGCCCAGCCCTCGGCCCTGCAGAGAACAAGCCTCCACCGGCACAGACATGCGGACAGTGGTCTCCAACCCTTAGCACCACTCCGCAGTCACTCGTGAAACAGTTACGGTTATTAAACAGGATGCTCACCCTGGCTGGTGTGGCTCAGTGGACTGAGCACCAGCCTGGGAACCAAAGGGTCGCCGGTTCAGTTCCCAGACAAGGCACATGCCTGGGTTGTGGGCCAGGTCCCCAGTAGGGGGCACTCAAGAAGCTACGCACATTTATGTTTCTCTCCCTTTCTTTCTCCCTCCCTTCCTCTCTCTCTAAAAAGTAAAAGAAAATTTAAAATAAATGAACAAATATTCACGTTACAAACCTTGACCTCGGGGAATCTGAACGCACCCCCACACCAACCCGAGGAGAGGATAAGGAAGAAAATGGGAATAAACGCACACCCATGCACCGGGGTCCAGGGTGGGCTCTGGGCGGCAAATGGATTTGGAGAGAAATCATTCTGAAAACTCTATGCAGCTGATATGAAAAGAAAAACAAGCACAAGGCAGCTGCTCTGCCCAAGCTCAGCTGTCCCCTCACTGGCCAGTGGATGGTGACCACGCAGACGAGCATCATCTCCTGAAGCAGAGGAGGCGAAGGGTCACACGCCAACAGAGAGCTGTGAAGACGGCTTCGTGTGTGTCTCCACGGTGAGTGATTTTACACGCCCCCAGCCCGGCTCCACAAGAGTGAAGAAACACAAGGGAAAGAAGGTAACAAAATATAAACACTAAAGTCAAGAGCAGGAAAAAAAAACCTCCACATCTATGGAGAAAACACTGAAACCAAAAAGGAAGAAAAGGGAACTATAAGCAGGTCAGAGATCCCCACTCATTTAGCGCTGAGCCTCCCAGTGACCAAAGAGAAAAGGGAAATGAGGTCACCTTACTGTCCAGATTTGGAACTGGGCTGCAGTGGGAATTCACAGGGAAAATCCTCCCTGAGGTCCGCAGCCCGAAGTCTGCCGCTGCGACCACAGGGCAGCTGCGGTCGGAGCAGTTAAGGCCTGTCTTTGGACCCGAACGTCCAGAATCACAGGAGACTCTAGGTCTTCTGCCTCAAATTCCCAACTCCTCCGCACTTCCCATGGACACCCCGTGAGGCTCCAGGACATTTCCAGCACAAACCTCCCACCTCTCCCAACCAGAAACCTCCCGACACGCTGGCTCCCCAGCAGGTTGCTCCAGCTCTGTGCGGCCGACGAGCTGGCCTCCTGTGCTCAGGCCCGCTGGGGAAGAACCACCACCCTGCAGAGAGCCCTCCACAGCCGCCACAGGCCCACTGGGGAAGGTGCCACACAGAATGCATCGTGGAGACCAAGTCCTTGCATGCCCACAACCACGCCGGGAGGCAGAGGCTGCTGTTCTCCCCCTTTACAAATGAAGAAGTCAAAGCTCAGAGAGGTGAAGCAACTGACACAAAGACACACAGCAAAAAAGAGGCCGCAGTGGGAGTCTGGCTCAAGAGGTCTCCTCCCTGAACCCACAGTCTGCAAACAGCAAGGTGCCGCAACACCGCCCGGAAGACCTCAACTCCGGATCCTGGGTCTGCCGACCCTGGACGGGGCCTAAGAACGTGCAAATGGACAACCTCACAAGTGATTCCGGAGTAGAAGGTCCAAGGACTGTACTCTGAGAAGTGCCCCGTAGGTGCCCTGTAGGGCAGTGGCCACGTCATCTCTCTGGGCTTTGGTGTTCTCCTGCGCATCACGGGGGATAACGCACACCCGGAGCCCTCACAGCAGCCCCGCGGGGACTCGCTGAGTCCAGGGCAGGTGGCGATGGCGGTCCCTCCCTCCGTTTCCTGCAAGGGCAGGTCCGAATCTGCCCACGCCTACCTGCCCGCAGAGGGGCACTTGTGTCCAGGCAGGAAGCTGTCCTTGGAATCTGCCCAGATAATACAGAAACGCCAAAGGTCAGAGATAAAAGCTAAAGTCCAGGTGGCGGCTCGGCCCCACTCGGCCTGGAAGGGAGTGGGGACCTGCCAAGGGCCAGGCAGGCTGAGGGCAGCCAGGACACCCCCTGTGCACCCCACGCACAAGCCAGACACTCAAGGGTCGCCCTCTGCCCCCTGCAGTCACACTGGGAGAGAACTGCCTTGGAGAGCTGCTCAAAGGGCCCCTCACACCACGCCTTCCATTCTGGGGACACCCCTCCTGCTTCCCCCTGTCCCACGTCTCTCCGACTCAAAGCCATGGTGTCCTGAAGGCCATGCCTCCGACGAGCTCTGCCCCTGCCTGGCGGACGTCACCAGGGCTGGCTTCCCCATCGAGACAGATGAGGAGTGCAGAGAGAGCCCTGGGTTCAAATCCTGTCTCTGCCACCAGGACCAGCCGGATAACATCTTGGGGCCTCACTTTCCTTATCTGTAAAGTGGGCCTAATAGCCCCACGCCTCCTGGGCTTGTTACCAGAAGGAACAAGATTACGTATGTAAATAATAACACACGGAACCAGCCGGGTCTGCCCAGTGCTTACTCCACACAACCGCACACACGCCCCTCCGCCCCCCGGCGCTGGCACGGCGTCTGGCACACGCTCAGCGGCTCAAAAACAAAACCCCAAGCCCTGCAGGAAAATCCAGCCCAGCCAGCACGGCCGAGGAGCAGGGCAGGGAGGAGAAGCCGAGCCTGCCCGGCCCTCCCGCTCAGCCACCACCCGGGGGCTGCTCACACCAGGGTCGCAGGCCAATCGCAGAGCGGCGGGAAGGTGACCTGGTCCCCCGAGGTGCTCGGAGAGACAGGTGTTCTCTGCCTGAGCAGCCAGCGCCTGGGGTCACCCTCAGAGTCACACACGGCACAGGCGTCTGCGCGGGCCCTGCCCGAGCCTGCCCGCCCGTCTGCGTGTGCGTGAGCCCCACAGCCGGGCCTGTCTGTGCTTGTGTGCGCTCCGCTCCGGGTGCTCCTTGTGCAGAGGTGACAGGGAGGGGGGCTGGTGCTGAGCGTGTGCCGGCACACACCTTGGGGTTGGTCTGGGCAGGCGCAGGAGAGGGTGCCTTGTTTGGCCACAGGCATCCCCTCCCACTGCGTGAGTCCAGGACAGAGAAAGCCAGGCCGCCTGAGGCTGGGGCCACTTTCCCAGGTGGGGTGAAACTCTGGTGGCTCGTCCAGGGCTCCGGCCTGGGGCTCGGGGGACACAGAAGTCGGGTGGAGATACCTGCGGGGCCCCAGGATACCAACAGGAAGTGATGCGGGATCTACTCAGTCCCCAGCCTCACCTAGAGGTTCTTGCCTCCCCAGTGACTCAGCTGGAAGCTTGCAAGGAGCTGGAACAAGACGGGAAGAGGGCTCAGCGCCGTCCCCATCCCCCACCCGCAGGGAGGTGACTCAGAGCCTCACCCTACCTTTCTCTCCCTCTCCTCCGTGGCTGCCCACACAACACCCAGGCTGACCTGTCCCTGACAGCCCGCCCTGCACAGGCCCCGGCAGGATGAGGCTGAAAAACATCAGCTTCCAGGAGAGTCAGAGCCAGGACGCGGGTCCTCAGCAGGGGTGGTAGTGCCCTCACTCCCCTCCGCGGGAATCCCCAAGTCCCAGGGAGGGTCTGGGCTCAGGAGCAGCGCCTGCTCCCCGGGAGTCCCCCTCCCTGGACCCTTGGACCCGCTGGTGCCTCCCGGGCAGGGTGCTGACTCAGTGACTAACCAGGGCAACCGGCGACCTGGACACACACCGTCTCTCCGCACCGCCCAAGCGCAGGGCAGGGCAGCCCGACGGGCCAGAAACAGCGGTCACATTCTGCCGTCAGCAAACCAGTGCCGGGGCAGAGTCCCCAACAGGGGAGACGGGGTACGTGCCAAAATCGCCCTCCCCGCCCCCGAGGCCTGGGGTGGCCAAGAAAGAGGCAGGAAGGTGAGGGAGCTCAGCCTTGTAGCATCTGGTGCTCCAGGCAGGTCCCCGCTCTGCCCTGCTCCGCCCGGTCAGCAGCCCCCTGTGGCCCCCACCCCTCACAGGCCTCCTGGTGCCCACCCGGCCAGTAGAGCCCTAACCAGGTACCTGCCCTGAGCTGCCATGGCCTTGAGCACCTGACCTCTGACCCCCACCCCCAGGACCAAGGGCAGCTCCTCCAGCCCCTGCTGGGTGGGTGGGGTTCGGGCAGATCCCTAACGCCCCCTCCTCTCTCCTGAGGCCCCAGCGCCCACCTTTCTCCTCACAGGTGCCTCCCCATCCTCTGAGGAAAGTGGGGCCACCAGGCCAAACCACCCCCGACTTCCCACTGCTCCCCAGGGCCCTGCACCGTGTCACGGAGCCTCGGTCCTGGGTCCACAACCTCCGCCGCGCAGAAAGCACTGTTCTCCTTCCCTGTCTACCCTAGAACCACGCGTGCCTCCCCCTCCTGCTTCTCGGCCAAAACCGTGTAGAGAAGGGCCGTCCCCATCTCTGAGCTCCCACTCACTGGAGTCGGGCCTCAGCCAGCCCCACGCTCGCCCAGCCGCCGGGGGCCAGGCACCCACG